AACCTCAATTGAAAGTACTTACCACTTATTTCAAAACCAAAACACTTTTCATATAGCAATACAAAAAGAAAACTGAAACAAATCATTTCGAAGAAAACACCTTCGACGCTAAGAATTGCCAGACGATAAATTTAATTATAAGTTATTTATTTTAATATTTTTTGTTCAATAACATATGCAAAACTGCACCAAGATCGACAAGAATAAGGTAAGATTTTAGTCACAGGTCAAAAGGTCGGTTTCTCTGTAAGTGCCTATTGTATGCATTTTCCATAATATATAATAAATAATAATACTATACTAATATAATAAATTCTAAAATATGTCTGTCTCTTTCTTTCTTTATACGAGTAAAGGATTATAGTTAGATTAGACAAAGATAGATATAGGTGCCAAGAAGACGTAATTTAATTATTATTGTAAAAATTATCTGGATGAAAGTAGATGCAGATAAAGTTGCAATTTGCAATTGCAATGCAGTAGCGAGTTAGATCCCTGGAGATTCCGTAGCCCCTCGTAGTTAAATTAAAAAAAAAAGTGTTTCACATATAGAAAGTTACATTATCAGACAATTAACAATTAATAATTAATTAAAAAAGGAAGAGACTCTCATATTAATTTTTCTGTATTTAACAGATTTATTTTAACCTTTCTTTATTTAACAGCTGGTCCTTCAAATTTGATCAAGTACTGTTAGTTTTTTGAGTTATCCTTATTAATACAAAGGTAAATAATGGAATGTGAATGAAGGAGATTGTGAGTAATGTGGACTGGTGATTTTATTGCTAGCAATGTACCATTTCAGGTTGACCTCCACGCGGTTCCCCCTGGAAACCATCGTGATAAATTTCTGGTTAATTTGTCACGATGGCTAACTGACCTGACCTCATGTACATCTTATCATCCTCCACTGGTGCCCCGCCAGCGTAAACCGTTTGCGCAGGCGGGTGCACCATTCCACTATCATCCATAAAAAAAGAAAAATTAATAATGGAATGTAGTAGTAGTACCTTATCTGTGTTAATGGTATTGAAGAGAGTTTTTTCTGATCTCTAGATGTTATTATCTTAATCTTATTAATATAATAAACACGAAAGTTTGTATGCATGGATCTTTGTTACTCTTTCACGCAATAACAACTGGACGGATTTTGATGAAACTTTACAGTAATATAGTATATATTCTATTCTATTCTATTCTATAGCTTATGCATCAGAATAATATATAGGCTATTTATTGAAATAGTATAAAATATAATAGAATAGAATATTCCTAATTCAAATAAATATAAATTTAAGCACTTTTGAATAGTAATTACATATTTTTTAATATACCTATTTAATTAGGGAATCTTCTATACTAACAATGAAAACTGTAATCACTAAACATATATCTTTAATTTGTAGCCTTAAATATATTTGTACTTCCAACCATTACATCACTTTGATAACTGTTATAATGTATTTATGTAATAAATGTGACAATATATACCTATATTTTCTCTACAGTTCCCTTCTGATCTCCTTTTTATTTTTATCTCTATAATTTTATATCCTTTTTATTTTTATGTCATTATATTTTGGCGCCAAGTTATTTTACCTTTTTAAAAGCAACGGAACAAACCCAAACAGCTTTAATAATGAGACAATATTCAAAGTAACAACCACTCATTCAGATAGGTTCTCATCGCAAGAAGAACGAGAATGAAATTTGCGTGTTTGTCTTTTAAATAAAGTAGCTGTAGTGTATATATTTTTTTAATATACCGCTCATTCGCAAAGGTTTCTCATCACAAGAAGAACCAGGATAAGTTCCGTATTGTTTTTTTTTTTAATAATTTAGCTGTAACTTTACATTTTGAAACTGAACTCTGAATACATACTACCAACTAGCACTAATTCATTACAGTCAAATCAACTAGTTGAATAACTAAATAAAGGTAAATCCAATCTATACATCTATACATATAATAAAATTGGAGTGTCTGTTTGTAATATTGATATAACCGTTTTTTACAACATGCATATGAATATAAATACGGAACATACACCAAAAAAACACTTTTTAAAATGTTTGTTTGTCTGTCGGTCTGTTTGTTCCGGCTAATCTCTGAAATGGCTGGACCGATTTTAACGGGACTTTCTTTAGTAGGTAGCTGATGTAATAGGGAGTAACTTAGGCTGTTTTTATTTTAGAAAAATAAAGTTAAATTCCACGCGGACGAAGTCGCAGGAACAGGCAGTTAATAAATATAATTTAGACAATCTGTAATTGCACTCAGGCGAGGCCGGGCGTTGTCGCTAGTGTTAATAAAATGGTAGATGACGCGTAAGGATTTTAGAATAATACAAATAACTTGGAGTGTCATGTTAGTCGAACATGATACCTACCAGTACATACGCTGTTTTCATCTCAACTTACAACATAGCACAAAGTTTAGCGTAGTGGCGTCACCTTCATATATAACATCTGTTTTATAACAAATATAGTTATTTTTTATCAATATAGACTTTGCACAAAATTGTCTATATGTGTAACTATCTCACCTAGAGTTAGAGTTCACATAAATATTTAAAAAAAAATCCGATTTTTAAAATGATATTAAAAGAAGGCAGTTTGTGTTTAGTATATTGGGTACTTCATTAAGTACCCAATATAAAGATTATTACAAATATTGTTAATAACGCCATCTAGTATTTATAGGCCGAACTAAGTTATTTGTCATAATCTTTACATTACTCCCGCTTCTCTTCCTACTACACTGATTTCGGTCTATAAATTCGGAGGTCGGTAGTTGAATAATCCTCTTTCGTTGGGTGAGCCACGGCATTCAGTCGACGAGCGCTGAGCGTGCCGGTTGTGTTTTGGATACTAAAGTGAATTGTATTAGAAATGGGTTTACCCCGGTCTTAGTTGGACCTGGGGGGAAGCTACAAGTAGTGAAGGTGAGTGTTAATGCATTCTAAAAGGTCCTTTTAAACTTACACAAGTCACGGGCGCTACTTGGGGTTTCCCTTGCAGTAGCCGGCTTCAAAGCCTAAGTCGTCATCAGTAATTTGTGCTTCTTACACTAGGGAGAGATTATTGGGGACCAAAACCCCATTGCCAGGGTACTAATCTTTCTTTCTTTTCTTCGACCCCAATAATTTTGTTTTCGTCGTACTCAGTTAATTCTTTGAGTTGATTATTATTGTTTTAGCTGCTGTATCATTTCCTCGACGTCTTTCCTTTATGTTTCGTATCCCCGGTTCCTCTGGAAACCATTGTGATAAATTCTTGGTGAATTTGCAACCATGGGCAAACTCATACTTATGAATGCAAATGTTTATATTGTACATGTAATCGAACCCCCGACCGTCGGAAATAAGACGGTATACTAAACCGCAAGATTACCAAGGACGGTCACTAGTGCATATTATTGACAAACCTCCTTGATGGAATTGTTGTTTTTTTTCAATCTTATCTTAATAATATTTAAAATGTGAAAGTTTGTTACGAATTTTGATGAATCTTTACAGTAATATACATAGTAGAATAACATTTAGACTATACATTTTATGCAAATGAAACCGCGGGCACAGTTAGTAGATCATAATGAATTCATGCACCCACCTGCGCTAACGGTATACACTGGCGGGGCACCAGTGGAGGATGAGCTTAAGGTCAGGTCAGTTAGTTGTGACAAATTCATCAGGAATTTAACGGATTTAAAAGATGGTTTCCAGGGGGAACCGCGTGGATGTCAACCTCACATATTCTATTGCTAGCAATGGGTTTATTTATCCACATTACTAATTCTCTTCCTCTTATTTATTTACTATAGGCTATACGAACAAACTAGAGTAAGACCTTAAAGCTGTTTCGGTTTAGCTCCTTATTTCAACCGGGGAGTCTGAACATAACTAAAATACGTCGTGGTAATTGTTGAAGAAACAGCAGCTAGTCTTCCTAACAATGAACTCAAAGTATTAACTGAACAAGAAGAAAACAAAATATTGATAGTAGTGATTCCGAAGAAAAGGAAGAAAGATATAGCTTTGTTTAACGCTGTTTCGTTTAGTGCTAGAACTTATTGGAACTTATCCCCCGCGCTATGCGGGGTCTTACTGTATCAATAAAATTTGCTATAGTTTGTTCAAATTTGGTAGACTATGGTCCGGTTGAAAACCAGCGCCGCACAGAAGCATCCTGCCAGCAGGCCTACGCGGAACCGGGTCCTTTTGCCTTCTTTAATTAAGTAAGTTTTATAACACCACTAGCTTTTGCTCGCAGCTTCGCTCGCGTTAATTTATCCCTTTAGGCGTAGAATTTATCAAAATCCTTGCTTAGGGGATGCCTACATCATAGTAGCTTTATGCATGCAAAATCTCAGCCCGATCGGTTTAAAATTGACAAAGTTTCATTCAAACTTTCATCCCCTATTTTATCCTCTTGGAGGTAGAATTAATCAAAATCCTTTCTTAGCGGATGCCTACGTCATAACATCTACCTGCATGTCAAATTTCAGCCCGATCCGTCCAGTGGTTTGGGCTGTGCGTTGATAGATCACTATGTCAGTCACCTTTGAGTTATATATATTTAGATTCTTTAAGATTTTTTTTTCTGCGACAAAAATTAATCAATCGTGTAACGAGAACACTTAAACAAAATAATGCAAATCCATAAAGTGATAACGTCGGTGTAAGTAAACGTAAGTGAAAAATGAAATACCTAAATATCAGCCCTGAATGATTTGTAATTGCTGTGAAAAATTTAGATTACTAACTTCAATATTTGCGATGCGTCGTCATATATGTATTTTCTTTTATATTGTATTCCATAATATCATTGGCAAAGCTATAAAAGATTCTTATTCTAATATTTCATAAGCAACAAGTGTATACTTAGTCTTTGAATGTTATACAATTACGTTACTTTACATATTTAAATATATAATTTTAGTTAGTTTTTTACATGTATCTATTAGTTTCACTGCGGTGTCTGTCTATAGCACAGCAAAGATGGGTCTCAAAATACTTGCAATTGTTTTAGTGTTGTTAAATAAAAGGTGTTTTGGATTCGAAATATCTGGTAGGTTTATGGTGACAGATTTTTAGGTATTCATTATTGTAACTCACACGGCGCCATTTAGTCCCAAGCAAATCTTGTGTTATAAGTACTAAACAACTGATATAAATACTTAGATACTTTTTTTGTAAATACATTCATATTATACATAGACTGTAGTTTTTAATGTAAATTTACCGAAAAAAACTTTGTACAAAATTGTTTGGCAGATTACCTCTAAAAAATTTCTATCAACATGACAACCTTGGTGGTCTAGTGGTTTAGCACACCGCCTTTCTTCCGATGGTCGCGGGTTCGATTCGCGCGGTGCAAACATTTTATATTTATGAGTATGATTGTTTATATCGGTCTTGGTTTTTTCTATATATGCATTTACAAAAAAAGTGTTTGAAAATTTGTTTAATACCCATAACACAAGCTCTGCTTAGCTTGATACTAGATGGCGCTGTGTGAACTGTCCAAGGTTATGATATTATTATTAATACCATTCAGCTTGCTATATAAACTGCGTCAGTTTGTAGGTTATGATAAAGCAATGAAATTTATTTTTATTTACTACGATGGTGGCAAACAATCGTACAACTCATCTGTTGGTAAACGGTTACCATAGCTATGGACGCTTGAAACATCAGAGGTATCACGTGCGCGTTGCCTTAAAAAACCTTATGCCCTTCTTGAAAACCCATGCTGTAGTCTCTCGAATTCAATCCTAAGTGTACGCGAGAGAAAGCTCCTCTGTAACCGCACTGTCCGAGACCACTTACATAGGTTCCAGCGTGTGAGGATGAATTCTTTGTTGATGCAAGCGCTGCGATGGTAAAAGATAGCCGTGGGCATCATGTAGAGCAATTCTTCAGAACAGAAATTACAGGGTACGTAAGATATAGGTATGATGTGACCAATTTAGCGGTCACATCATACCACGTCACATATAGTCGTCACAGGTCAGACTGCAATGTCTGCGAGAGTCACCTTGACTGATTATGTAATATTTTAACAGCGACAAACTACCGCCACGTCATCGAGTAACTATATAACCTTTGTATCTAATAATAGAAATACTAGCAACATTTCAGCAAATGACTATAACCAAATTACATTCATCAAACAAAATTTTTACGTGACTAAAATGGCCTACAAGCTGACTGCCCACCTGATGGTAAATGGGAATCTTCGTGGACAGCAGACAGCACTATGGAACTCATATCTTGGGATCGTATCACAATGTTAGTTACCATAATCCTACCAAACGGCTTGATCGATTTCTATGAATATTCGTATGCATATTTAGTAGGTCTGACAATCGGCTACTATCTATTTTTCATACCCCTAAGTGGTAAGGAATATCCACACTTAAATGTATTTTTTTTATTTTCTCGACATAATATTTTATTTTCATTTTATTATTATTTAGGTTTGAATTGAAAAATACAGACAACCCTAAATTTTTACCCTTCTAGCTATCAACCCCAATTTTAATAGCGATTTTAATTTATATGGCAAAACAACGTTTGCGTCAGCTAGTAATTATGTAAAAGTACTTATTTCTACTAGACTTACGGAATAAGCTGCTTGACAGTTCAAAAAGGTTAGAATAAAGTACCTAGCAGATGATATTTTCATCTGGTGAACACCATGATTGGCTCACCTGTCTTAATCTACATCTAATCTTCTTCCACTGGTATCCTGCCAGCTTCAGCACATGAGCATAAACTAAAACAGAAGCTGGGAGAATACCAGTGAACTAACTACGAGTGGGAGAATACCAGTGAACACCATGATGGGCTCATCTGTCTTAATCTACATCTAATAATCTTCCACTGGTATTCTGCCAGCTTCTGTTTTAGTTTATGCTCATCCACTGTATCCTTAATATTTCTCGTCTGCAGATGAGGAATATGACAAAATGCCGCCACTGTTCCGTCTCGACGAGTACCACAAGTGTATAAGATACGACGGCGTGTACTGTCAGATTAAGTTGGACCTGTTTGCAGAACCCGAAAACGGCCTTATGACATTTATCAAAGTATGTACCACATACATTATCATCTGATGTGACTTGCCTACGTTTATATTTTGTATTGGTTTTGAATTTAAAAAAATATATCTTTATATCTTACATTATCGTAATCTTTTTTATTTTTCAAGATATTAAATAGTAAACATGTCTACTTATCTAGTCGTAAGTTCTATTGTATTATGTACGTACTACATCCATTATATTTTTTATTTTTACACAGATTATAAATTGCAAAAATGTTATTTATCTGCCTGTATGTTAAGATTTCTCGTAAAAACGTTTGAATGAAATAGGAAATTAATTTTCAGATAATGTTGTTAAATATAGATAGATTAACTTAGAAACCTTTGGGTGTCTTTGGGTGATTTCTACTAGCAACTTTAGTTGAGACGAACTGGCAAGAAACTCAACCACTACATGTTTTATTAGATCTGTTAGATACTCCAGTGGAGAAGAACTGTTAAGAAACTCAACTGTTACATGTTTTATTAGATCTGTTAGATACTCCAGTGGAGAAGAACTGTTAAGAAACTCAACTGCTACTTGTTTTATTAGATCTGTTAGATACTCCAGTGGAGAAGAACTGTTAAGAAACTCAACTGTTACATGTTTTATTAGATCTGTTAGATACTTCAGTGGAGAAGAACTGTTAAGAAACTCAACTGCTACATGTTTTATTAGATCTGTTAGATACTCCAGTGGAGAAGAACTGTTAAGAAACTCAACTGCTACATGTTTTATTAGATCTGTTAGATACTCCAGTGGAGAAGAACTGTTAAGAAACTCAACTGCTACATGTTTTATTAGATCTGTTAGATACTCCAGTGGAGAAGAACTGTCAAGAAACTCAACTGCTACATGTTTTATTAGCTCTGTTAGATACTCCAGTGGAGAAGAACTGTTAAGAAACTCGACTGCTACATGTTGTTTGTTTTATATATTTTTTAAGATAGATTTTTTTATTATTTTTCTCCAGGGCTCGTCATATTTTTATTCACTAACCCTACCGTCAAATTCGGCTAGCTACTTCAGTTGAGAAGAACTGGCAAGAAACTTAAATGCAATTATTTTTTAATATTACTTTTTATTTTCCTCCAGGACTATTCTGAATCTACTCACTTAAGACATTACAATCACTCGTATTTGGAAGAAGGGATATGCGTCACAACAACTTGTAAAGACTACATCAGAGATCGGAACTTGGACGATCCTGAGGATGTGAAGTCTATCATAGAAGAATGTAGGAACGACAGCATCTGGCAGGAGTACGGATTGCAGGCGAGAGTCTCCTTGGTGTACAATTGCGACAGGAAAACAGACCAGAGTCAGGTGGACCTCCTCGACTGGCTGGTGCTGGGCTTGTTAATCACCATCGTACTGATCAACGTGACCGCTACCACTTATGATTGTATGCTTGATGATAATGCAAAAGTGAACTTGAGCAAAGGTATATTTCTCATATAATCTTATTTATTCTATTCCTAAATCCAGCAGTCAAAATTACTAGATGGTAACGGCACGCATAACGTGATATCTGTAATATCACGTTATCACCAATACCATTCATGCGTTACCATTCACGAAGATTGATATGTTGCGACTATCCTGCAATTTCACTGACCTGACCTAGAATATCAAACAAGCTGATGGATCTCTTCTGAAGGTAACGAATACCATATACGTCACCTAGAGACATCACGTTATCATGTGATACTCACACATGCGTTGCCATTTTGGTTGCTTGAGAAGTTGTGACTCCTTCTTATCCTGTTGTTTTTTTGTTTTTTTAATGTAACAAAAGAGCGCTTCTTTCTTCTTTCAATTCACTAATTCTTCTTGTGATTTAGACTTAGCTTTCCGAATGAGTGGTAGATTATAAAAAGTGCTTAAATTAAGTTTATTTTAATAAATGATTTTCTATTCTATTCTATACATTTTACACTGCAAGCTGGTTAATTAGGTGCAATAAATTAGACTGAGGTAGCCAAGCTCAAGTGTTTTAACATAGTCCACCATATAAGTGAAGTAAAATTATAGGAGAATCAGTTGCTTTGACTGACATTTTTAAATAAAATTCAATGTATACTTTCTCACTCTGTCTCGTTTCACTTAACACTATGAACTGAACTGGACATTGGGTTTTGGGTTTTATAAATATAAAATATATCGATAGATAAACATATTCTTTGTTCACCAAATACAAACATATAGCATACTAGCTTTTGCCAGCGGCTTCGCTCGCGTTAGTTTATCCCCTTAGGGGTGGAATTTATCAAAATCCTTTCTTAGGGGGTGCCTACGTCATAGTGACTTTATGCATGCAATCTCTCAGCCCGATCGGTTTAAAATTGACAAACTTTCGTCCCCTGTTTTTTCCCTTGGGGGTGGAATTTATCAAAATCCTTTCTTAGCGGGGATGCTACGTCATAACATCTACCTGTATGCCAAGTTTCAGTCCTTTGAGTTATATATATTTAGATATGAGTTACAGAGAATACATGTACAAATAAAAGAAACGATGGCTCTATGTGCTGCTAAGATGACTAGAAAAAAATAAATGTCATCATCATCATCATCATCATCATCGCAGCCCGGAAGACGTCCACTGCTGGACATAGGCCTCCCCCAAAGATCTCCACGACGATCGGTCCCGCGCTGCTCGCGCAATGTATCAATGCTTAAACTGTAAATGAATAAAGTTAATAACTTTTTAGATTATTGATTTTAAAATCCACATTTTTAAAATAGTGCTTTTTATAATTGTGATATATAAGTTGTGTAATGCTTATGTTTTAGTTACCTCCTCCTGTACTGACAGAGTACAAGATGAATACTATTCATCTTGCAAGCTTCTGTTTCACTACTATAATGTGTAATTGAATATTACAGGCCAGAGAATATTTCTGTGCTTCTCGGTAATTCGCAACTGGAAATATCTGAAGTCACCGCCCAGCACTGACCCCAAAATTAGCATATTCAAGGGAATTAATGCGATGAGGTAATTCTCTTTCATTTGTCACTAAAATCCTAATCTTATTAATATTCTTAACGCGAAAGTTTGTGAGTATGGATGGATGTTTATTAATTGTTCATCTACAGAAATGTAGTATAATCAACAAAAAAACAGCTGTTTTTTTTTTGTGTTGATAATGGAATGGTGCACCCGCCTGCGCTAACGGTTTACGCTGGCGGGGCACCAGTGCAGGATGATAAGATGAGCATGAGGTCAGGTCAGTTAGCCCAACGTGCAAATTCATCAGTAATTTAACACGAGGTCGACCTGACATGGTACATTGCTAGCAATGGGGTTATCAATCCACATTACTAACAATCCCCTCCCCCCAAAAACAGCTGTTTCATAATCTGAGCAGTTATTAAATGTTAATTTTATAATGTGACGTCATAAAAATTTAATAGATAACTCCTGCCGCTCCTGGTCAAATCGTTTTTACATTGCGTAACGAAATTTATTACTCCTGCCACCCCTTATCACATAATGTCACACTTCGTCACAAATTTGATAACTCCTGCCACCTCTTGTCACATAATGTCACACTACGTCACGAATTTTATAACTCCTGCTACCCCTTGTCACATAATGGTCACGAAATTAATAACATCTACCGCCTCTTGTAAGGCAGTGTCACACTACGTCATGAAATGGATAAATCCTGGCATACCTTGTTACAAAATATCACACTACGTTACGAAATTGATAACTTCTGCCACATTTTGTCACTCCATGTCACACTACGTCACGAAATTGGTAACTCCTGCCACCTCTTGTCACATAAAGTCACACTATGTCACGAAATTGATAACTCCTGCCACCCCTTGTCACATAATGTCACACTTCGTCAACATTATCTCCTTCCTTAACGTGTAACATAATGGTGGTGGCACATGGTGAACCTGATACTACATGTCGTAATATTTCAGAACCGTGACGTCATTTCTGGTCATACTGGCGCACGTAGTGTGTGTTTTCACATTGGGATCTGTGTACAACACACATGAATATGAACAGGTGAGTGGTACCTTATTTTTTCTTATCCTTATGTTGCACTTTTTATTATACCACGGTGGTGGCAAACAGGCATTCGGCCCATCTGATGATAGTATTATTATACTACGCCTAACAATCTGGATATATACCATATTAAATACATACATAATAAACATAGAAAACAACCAGACCAATACAAACAATCAGACTCATGAATACAAATGTTAGCACCGTGCGAGGAATCGAACCCGCGACCATCGGAAGTAAAGCAGTGTATTAAACCGCTATACCACCGAGGCCGTCGTGATATCATATCTGTCTAGAAATTCATATCACATCTGTCTTTTGTTAGCTTTTATCGACTAAGCAGTTGAAATTGAAAAGCAATTAAAATTATAATGTAAAAATATTTTCGTTAAAATGCAGCTACTAACGTGAATAATTATTTTTGAATTTGTATGGATTTTAATTAATTTTGGAATGAAAACATTATTTGTGATCATGCCAAAATTATATTATAAAGAGTTTTTCCATCACATTAAAAAAAACGCGGGAAACATCTTTTCTATAAGTTTAAACAAGCTGCTAAAACCGCTGATGTTCGCACTGATCACTCTCAGTTTTTTTGTGTAATCTGTGCAAATTCACAAGAACAACATTTATGACCGAAGGACTGTTTTGGGCTGGTAAACATAAAAAAAAAGGTAATAAAAGAATGACCAATGACATTTTCCTATATAAAGTAATAGACAAATTACATAAGTAATATATAAAGAGGTGCTATTACGGCTGGCAACGGCAGTGAAATAGGGTAATATAAATAAAATTACTTACCAAACTTATAGATGTATTTAGTGGTAGCGTATATGACACAATGTAGCAAAACAATATAATAAAAAATATATGGTTTAAAAATAGAAATATCTATAAAAAGAGGTCTGTCGCCAACATGTGCCTCGAGCACTATTGCATTTGATTACTGATTATAATTGCAGTCATTCTCGCTTCCACATTTCAAAATCCTGTGGCACGGGATGCACTCAGTCCAAATGTTCTTCGTGATGTCGGGATTACTGTTGGCTTACAATATGCAAGCAGGATCTGAGACGAAGAAGATTACGTGGAAAATGGTGCCGTATATACTGTTACACAGATTCTGGAGGTCAGTGTTGACTGTTATGAATGATATGATATAATATAATATAATATTTCAGGACAATTCACACAGCGCCATCTAGTCCCAAGCTAAGCAGAGCTTGTGTTATGGGTACTAGACAACTGATATAAATACATGGATACATTTTTTTAATTAATAAATACTTACATATTATACATAAGCAACACCCAGACCGATAAAAATAATCATCATACTCATGAATATAAATGTTTGTACCGTGCGAGGAATCGAACCCGCGACCATCGATACTAAGGCAGCGTGCTAAACCACTAGATCACCGAAATACATATATTATATACATAGAAAACACCCAGACCGACACAAACAATCATCTCATGAATACAAATGTTTGTACCGTGCGAGGAATCGAACCCGCGACCATCGGATAGTAAAGCGGTGTGCTACACCACTAGACCACCGAGGCTGTCAGGATATATGAATGATATGATAATGATATATGAGGAAAAGCTAGCATATTATAATATACTAACTTTTTTCTGATATGACTTAATCCGCGTGACAACAAAGCAAAATATTGACTTGTAAAAAGTTGAATTTTTTAATGAAATTGAATCTGATGAATAGGAATAATCTACATATTTTTTAAACAGCACTACTGTTACCACTTACCATCTGATGAGCCGGTAGGTCATTGTCCGATTTAATTACATAAAAATATAGACGACAATTAAGCTAATTGGTAGGTATGCAATAAGAAGCTTACTATAAAATTAAAGAATTCGTTAACGATAATAATGTTTTTATAGAAAAACTTTAAATCCATAGCACTGACAATATTATCTGATTACACTAATAATGAGTGCGTAGCGATTTCTATATTGGTTATCGCATGTTATATTGTAATTATTTATATAAAAAAACATCTATTAAAAAGAGCAACACACAAGTTTCTCGCTCATTCTTCTTGTGATGAATCTGCATTCCGAATGAGTGGTAGAATCAAAATATGACTATTCAAAAGTGCTTGTAATGAGTTTATTTGAATAAAGATTATTTCTATTTCTATTATTTTTATATTTTTAAAGCCCTACTAAAAAGAGATTTATTATAAATTGGTCGAGCTATGTTTGTTTAGAAACTGACTCACGATAGTTCTTTTTCCACAATATATTTATTTATTTCTGATAAACCAAGACCTATTACAAGCACAATAATACAAACATAATTAAAACATAGAAGCCGCTTACAGGTTTTCGCAAATAGAAATGAAGCAAGATAGAAATGAAATTTACAGGACTAAAACGAGAGGCCAAGATCCTAATATGAAAAATATAGTAATAACACAGATAACATAATATTACATAGTAATAATAAGAAATGTTTAATTATATCAACTTAACTATAAACCTAAAACCTAAAAATAATTTGATACCGTTGCAGATTAACACCAGGATTTGCAGTGATGCTCGCATTCACGGCCACGTGGCTCCGTCACCTGGGATCCGGCCCGCTGTGGACCAAACAAGTGGTGTCGGTGTCGGCCCAGTGTCGCCAGTACTGGTGGACGCATTTACTGTACATCAATAACTACTTCAGTGACAACGTGGTTTGCCTGACGCTTTAGTGCACACTCAGGTAATTTTGATCCCCGATTTGAATTGGACGGAGGATCATCGGACCCCAGCTAAACAGTTGTGTCACAATAATCAATCAACTAAATAGATTAGTCGTAAAAGTCGTAGATTTCCAAACTCAAAGGTTTAGTCTATTGTTCCAAATTATTTTTTACTAACAGTTAGAATAGAAAATCATTTATTCAAATAAACTTAATTTAAACACTTTTGAATAGTCATAACAATTTGTTTTTTATCTACCACTCGTTCGGAAAGCTGTCTCATCACAAGAAGAACGAGCAAGAAACTTGTGTGTTGCTCTTTTAAATAATCCTTGTAAGTTTACATATACAAGTCGAAACATGTGAATACAAACTACCAACAAGCACTAATTTTTTGGGTCAAATATAAATATGCAATAAGATTAAATCAGTCGTAGTGATAAGAGGAGACCAGTCCCTACAAGCAGCACTCGTTCACGAGTATGACGGATGAGCCAGCCATCACTGCGCTCGACCATATTTTAGGGAGCCCAATGACCCGACCCACCACGCCGCCACATTTCTGGACATTTTAGTGAGCATGACTACTCATTCCACACGACCACGTCACAGCTACAAAAATTACTATATGGTAGTTCAATCAATACAAAAGCCGCTACGCTATCGTATATCAAGAAAGCAGTATGAAAAATAAATTATAACGTTGTCCTCAAATAAACTTATAACAATCCCTTTCAAATTCAACTTCAAAAATCATTTATTCATGTAGGACATTTTAGCCGCTTATGAACGTCAAATTTTTACATTCTAATTTTATTTTTTTTTTCCTACTGTCCAGTCCTTTCTCATTTTTATTGAGGATTTTAGGCTATTGTTAGGTGCTAAGACCTATGACACTACGACCTGCATAGATCTATTGTTCTCGCCCTTTTTCAAAGCTCCATACCAAGACATGTCAAGGACAAGAATTGAAGGATATTCTTAGGAGCGATGGTTTTTATCTCTTCAGGACAGACTGTAAACTTTATAAAGGAGATATTTCGTTTATGCTTGAGAGGGCTACGAGCACATAGGATGTGTAGTGGCGTTTACTCTTCTGCTTGGAAAAATCTGGAGATATTGTTTAGCTAAGGACTAAATTTTGACGACCTTGGTGGTATAGCGGTCCAGCACACCGCTTTATGTCCAATGGTCGCGGGTTCGATTCCTCGCACGGCACAAACATTTGTATTCACGAGTATGATTGTTTGTATCGGTCTGGGTATTTTCTATGTATAATATGTATGTATTTACGAAAAAAAAAAACTCTGTATTTATATCAGTTATCTAGTACCCATAACACAAGCTTTAGCTAGCTTAACTTGGGACTAGATGGCGCTGTGTGAATTGAGATTATTATTATTATTATAATTTCGCCATGTGTTAATTCAAATAAACCCCGTCTCGTCTATAGGTATTCAGCGGCTGACACCCAGATGTTCTACATCGGTATAGTAGTGCATATATTGACTGTGGCCCAACACAGAAGCCTGGTGTTGGGTGGTCTGGTCGTCCTGGGCATGATACTACCCGCGCTTCATGCCTGGTACTACGACCTGCATGCTCTGATGGTTTTCTCCCCTGAGTAAGTATATTCAATCATACATCATAAAATTTTCTATCATGGAATTTTTATTAAATAATTTACAATTTTTAATACATACACACTAGCTGTAAACGTTGTTTTGCTATAAAAACAAAACCTATTTTTTGACCCTTCTACCACCACCTCAGTTGTTTTTTTTTAACACAGGGGACAAACAAAAATTGCTAGAAATACATATTTTTTGTAAACTAAATAAGGTTGCCTAAAAAAGTTACTCCTTATTACATTAGATACCTGCCAAAAAAAGTCCCGTCAAATTTGGTCCAGCCTTATTGTAAATATAAAAAATGTATTCTGTAATATTGTTTACTAGATACTCGCTCCGGCTTCGCACGGGTGTACATGTATAATACATACGAATCTTTCTCTTGAATCACTTATCTATTAAAAAAAATGTACCGTTTTAATTCATATGCATGTAGTATAAAACGGTTAATCCAATTTTTTTTTAATTTAATATATGATAATGGAATGATGCACCCGCCTGCGTTAACGGTTTACGCTGGCGGGGCACCAGGTGAACGATAATGAGCATGAGGTCAGGTCAGTTAGCCCATCGTGACAAATTCACCAAGAATTTAACATGATGGTTTCCAGGGGGAACCGCGTGGAGGTCGACCTGACGTATATTGGGGGATCATTAGTCCACATTATTAACAACCCCGTTCCCCCAAGTTTCAAAGATTTAAGCATACATAGAGACGGACAGACTGCGACAGCGACTTTATTTTATACTATGTAATTATATCTTTTCGATGTCTTTCCTTTACTATATGTTACAAATAAGGTATACCTGCACTATACTATACTTACACGGCGCTTAAGTTATAATAATAATACGATATTATTGATAAACAACATGACATACCGATTTTCGTTTGTTATTTTGTTTTGACCTTGACCTTTGTCACAAGTTATTTAAAAAAAAATCACAAATGTCACCCATTCAACTGTTTTCAAGTAATGTTCACCATGGAATGGTAATGTGATAATTAATTTTATGGTACAATGGGACTAGCATGTATTTTGAGTTTGTACAAAAATGTCCCTAAAATTTTTGTTTATTTTTTTTATTTTTTCTTTAAATTTTAAGAGAAATTAAAAAAAACCGTTTCTAAACGTCGACATGTCGCAAATTTTAAAAGAAATTAAAATAAAAACAATACTGTTTTCAGAACGTCGACTTGTCACAATATACATATTGCTGTTATATATAAATATATTTAACTACCTCCATGTAAAATCGTAAGTCCGTTGCTGTGCGTAAAAACAGATTCGAATTCATATCTCGGTCCGGTTATTTCTTACTTAATGCGCCCGACTTTTTCACATCCACCCCTATTGCTATATAATATGTGTATAGCAAATTCCACAATTCATGTTTAGCGTCACTATTGTGGCACATCTCTAGTGACGCATCAGTGTTCCGCTCTCAGTATCACTATGTAATATTGTTATCTGTGGTATCAGTGTTAAACCATATTGTAGCCTGTTTTTACTGTAATTTAATATTAATACTATAAATAATATATATATTATTTTATAATAATATTAGTCATTTATCGTTCGACAATGAACTTATTGTCTTATACATATAAATAAAATTGGAGTGTCTTTTTGTAATATTGAAATAACACGTTTTTTCCTACATGCATATGAATATAAATACGGTACATGCACCAAAATAACATTTTTTACAATTTTTGTCTATCTGTCTGTCGGTCTGCTTGTTCCGGCTAATCTCTGAAATGGCTGGACCGATTTTGACGGGAGTTTTTTTGGCAGGTAGCTGATGTAATAAGGAGTAACTTAGGCTACTTTTATTTTCAATTCCACGCGGACGAAGTCACGGGAAAAGCTAGTTATAAATACAACCAGAAGTGACAAGACATTCTACCTATACAATATAACAATTCATTCTCCCGACATTTATCATCCACCCGAACTGCTATAGAATATATGTATGCCATAATTTTTGTTTAAGCCGTTAAAACAAAGAGCGTAACAAATAAACATACTAACAAACTCATTTTCACCTTTATAATATTAGATACAATAAACTGTATACCTACTGGCCATTTTTTCGGACTACTCTAATGCTGTTGGCCGCAGCTGGCCTTTACAGCTTCACCGGACGATAGGGGGCGAGTGCAGATGGCACTCCAAACCAAGGAAGGATTTATGGAGCAGCTGAAGGCCAACTCCCGCCTGACGGATACGACTTTAGTCTGAGGGCACCGCTATGGGTTCGAACCTCGGCTCTACGTAGTCGGCTCGGTAACGACCCTTAAGAAACCTTCACCCTTTTTAAAAGCCCCATCCTAGTCTCTAATGAAAACGGCGTCAAGCAGTTCATTACAAAATCTAAGTGTATAAGGTGAGAAGCCGTCCTAATAAAATCGCCATGTCTGAAACGACTTAACTTCTAGTTTCATGTGAGGTTGAATTGTTATGTTTGTTATGAGTATTCCGAAGACATAAGTAAATCGTTCATCAGAAAAATAATGTTAGTATTTAGGATTAGGAAATATACGTAAGTAAATCTGGCCTCACATTTTTAGGTTCACTCGGACGATAGTTCTTCAGTTTTGTTAGCGGAGGAGTGTCGCATAGGATAGGAAAATCCTTTTATTGAACCTCATAATGTGAAACCAGATAAATAATAAAATTGTATATTTTCGCCCAAACTATAACAGTGTCGCATAGGATAGGAAAATCGTCATTCTGAACCCACTAGTGTGAGACCCGATTAACAAACCGATGTTATTTAAATTTGTATCAGATTCGCCCGAACGATAAACACGGCCGATTTCCGTCTGCTGTACATCATCGGTCACAACAACATAATATGCTACGTGTTTGGAATGTACGCCGGTTATAAGTTGTACGATTACCGTAAGAACGGCATCACACTTGCGGGTAACAAGGTATGTACTATATGTTAATAACTCTAGACATAACATGGCGCCATCTAGTTCTAAACTAGAGTAAAGATATACCGACATATAGTCGTTTATGTATATAGGCTATGGTTAACATTTACCATCATATGGGCAGCCCGTTTGTTAGCCAGTTCAATTACATAAATAATAAATTTAATTATATATTTGTACATTCAATGCAAGAGTTGAGTTGAGTAGAGTGACTAGAGTTGCCATGTTGCCAACCATTAATATTTGGATTATATATATGTTATATATATATAATCGTCAATACTTCCATATAACCTTTCATCCCCTTTCAACCATTTTTTCGGATTAAAAAGTAGTCTATGTCCTTTCTCAGGTTCTAGACTATCTGTGTACCAAATTTCGTTTAAATCAGTTCAGTGATTTTGGCGAGAAAAGACTGACAGACAGACACACAGAGTTACTTTCGCATTTATATCATTAGTAGAGATAGAAATTTATCATTGAAGCCAGAACGATGAAACTTCTAGTTTAGGTAGTCTCTATCTATAAAAAAGTTACATTTATAGGTGCACAAGTATATCTACTGGTCCTGCATACCAGCTATCATCGGACTGGCGCTAGTGGGTAGCATTTTCTACGGACCAACACCACTGCTGGTGAGGATGCTGTACCAGAGTACCCACCGCATCGTCATAGGAGGCGCTGCCGTCTACTTGATCATGGGCTTCACCATGAAACTAGACAGTAAGTAATCAACATGATATCATTATAATTTGTTTACGTGATAATGGAATGGTGCACCCGTCTGCGCACGATTTACGCTGGCGGGGCACCAGTGGAGGTTGATAAGATGAGCATGAAGTCAGTTAGACCATCGTGACAAATTAACCAAGAATTGTTAATGATGAGTTGTGTATTCCTTTGCCAAGTTCGAATTTACTGCCCCCAGAACGTGCAGCCCGGGGCATGGGCCCCGTGTTGCCCCCGCTAGATCCGAAGCCGACTATAACGATATGAGGGGGAAAGGGTATTGTTAGTAATGTGAACTGATGTTCTTATTGCTAGGAATGTACCATATCAGGTTGACCTCCACGCGGTTCCCACTGGAAACCATCGAGATAAATTTCTGGTTAATTTACCTCGATTAGCTAATTAAGCTGATCTCATGTTCATCTTATCATCCTTGACTAGTGCTTCGCCAGCGTAAACCGTTAGCGAAAGCGGGTGCATCATTCCAGAAATATTCATAAAAAAACCCATCTGCGTTTACTCTGTTATATGGTTATGAAGTAGTTTCAGTTTTTTTATAGCATAGGGGACAAACGAGCGAGAGGCTCATCAGATGGTAAGTGATTACCGCCGCCCATGAGCACCCGCAACACTAGCGGGCTTGCAAGTGCGTGTCCGGCCTTGTAAGAGGGGACATTCCCTTTTCTGGAAGGTTTCAATATCGTATCGGTTCGGAAATACTGGATAAATGCTGTAAGGCGATGTGTTCCACAAGTTAATATTCGAATATTGGTTGACAGCTTTCCTTACGAGCATATTCGATTGGGACGGGTGGGCGGTGTCGGGGCGGCTCACCTATACCGTCTACTTACTACACATGAACATCATCCATTACCTGATCGGGTCCAAGTCCGTGCTCATAGAAGTGAAATACTTCTCACTGGTAAGTAACAGTTTGACTCATACATATAATTAGTAAATCACGGTATCTTACCACGTTTTATTTTTATTGAGTTCCCCATATTTGGGCAGTTTTCCACGGCCATCATGATCACGGGTAAACTGAAGAGCAGCGGGTAGGTGGTACAGAAATCTACAAATAACAATTTCGTCTGTGTCACACTTTCACTGTTTTTGCAATATTTTTCATATGCAGTCCAATACACTCCTGTTGATCACAACGTGATGTTATATAACCACCCAAAACCGCCTTTCTTGTGTTAAAAGAATTTTCAAAATCGGTTCAATAAACCCAGAGTTTCCCAAAACCTAGTAATTCTAGTTTTTTTTTAATTCTACACTCATTAGTAGGTATGTGTGAGACCAGACCAGATAGATTCATTCTAGATCGGAACTCTATTGAATGCCTGATGATGCCGGCGAAACACGTGTCGCCATATGCGTGTAAACTCAATAACGGTCGGAATTTGATCACCAATGTTCAAAATACTTGTATCTAATGGTGGTAAAGTCTCCGTACTGAATATTTGTGGTCTCACACATACTAATGGTAGTGAAATATTTTACATTTAAATGAAACTTCTATATAGACGTAGGATTTTTCGGTCAAAAAGCTTTACCGTCGCATGGAAAGTGTAGACGACATATTGTGTTGTGACAGAAAGAGAAAGGCTGGTAGAAGCGGAGAGAGAACGGCAGTCCGTTGTAGTTCCACTTCTGTGTCCCACCACACATTCCCTTTTTATTTGTATCCATTTATATTCACTAAACCACAATATTTTTCTTCTTTTCCAGATGTTGCTGCTATTTGGAGTCCTGGTGATGTCATACTTAATTTCTATCCCATTCTACCTGATGGTGGAAGCTCCAATGGACCCCATACTTAAACTAATATTAGCCAAAAATGACGACAAAAGCATACCTGACCACGGCAAGTCGAATGCATCAGAAGTTAAAAAGAAGGCAGATTTATTTCAGAAAGAAATTCAAAAGGAGTTAATTAACACTGGTGTTAATAAACCCGTGAAAGAAGATGACAAAAATAAATAGAAATACTAATTAGGGAAGCATCAGCAATAAATATGAGATGTGTAGGAAAGGGAGGCAGAACCGAATCCTAACCTAACCAACCTCATGGGGGTCATATTTGGTCTTGGCAGATATTACGAATTTTTACATAACATACAATGTAAAATTTGCAAGTTATTAACCTAATTTAATTAAGATATATTTCTCAATTAAGACATGGCATTATTGTGATGTTTAATGTGTAAACCCTCATATAGTTGGAAATACAATCTTGATACTTTTAATTTCGGATAATAAATTTCATAAACTACTCCTATTTTTACATGTGAAAGTGGAAAAGTGTGGAAACCTACTAATAATAACCCTGGATGATTCACAGTGACATTTAGTCCCAAGCTAAGCAGAGCTTGTTTTATGGCTCCTAGACAACTGATATAAATAAATACATTTGTTATAATACATACATAACATACGTATAATCTACACAAGAAACACCCAGATCAATACATACAATCATACTCGTGAATACAAATGTTTGTACAGTGCGAGGAATCGAACTCGCGACTATCGGAAAATAAGGCAGAGTGCGATTGTTATCAGAATTCATTTACGATCTGAATAGCAGCCTTCTGTACTGCATATATGTAGTTATTTGCCGAAAGTCTTGATACAGGGATAATTCGATAATACTAGAAGCTACGGTGTAAATAAAACAAAGTTTTATAATATTTTCCCTTTTATTATCTCAGGAATTTTGTTTTCATATTAATATAATATCATAGTTTCATTATAATGAATACATGTCAGCAGGTAATGACGAATGCACGAACGCTGGTACCCGACTGGCTCCCTCATAGCATAACAAAAATATACATAAACATACGAGCTCATACCCATTAAAATTCCGCTTCTAGCCATTTTGCCGCCGAATAGCAGCCGGTGTGACTAGCGCACAAAATAAGAAAAACTACTACGACTGTACAAAACAGAAAAGTCGCAACATAACACAGCCATCGAAAGAAATTGATACATAATTAAATTTAAATTAGGTCGTTATTAGCGTAGTCGGCTACAAATTAACATTAACCTCGGAGTACCCACATTCAATAATAAAATTATTTGGTCGTACACGCTATATAGATTATTACAAACGTACACAACTTGTTTTATATAAACATTTAATTTACTTTATATACCATATTATGTACCTAGTAGAATTTATCTAACTTTTCATTTAACTACAACGAAGTGCAATAAACAGTTTGTATTCACGTAATCATATAGCTATAACGATTTAAAAATATAATAGTATATATGTATCTGTAAAAAAATGCAGTCAGCTTAAACGTAACCTTCAAGGTGGATGCACACATAAATGCGCCAATAACAAACGTATTTTTAACACGTTAAAGACCGCTCACAAAGATGCCCACTGGTGAGTCACCCCGCAACGAAAGAACATTTATACGTTGGGACCGGGTGATCACGCGTGGGCACTTTATTGAAATAAATCTAGGGGTTAAATAATGTCTACCTCAAATTATTGTACACTAAAAACATATTTAAATAATAGTATACGTAATTAACAATAAAAAAATGCCGGTCCCTATGTGAGAAATACTATTTTTCAATGCGGTCTTCAACGTGTTAAGGATTTGTTATATACATCTGAAGAAGCAAGAAATGCAAACAAAGCTTTTCAGACATATTACTCCGTACACCTACATAACACTAAAACCAGTGACAATATCGGAACTTTAGTCGGACTACCATAATACTGCTCGGAACTGTCTTTTACAGCTTCACCGGACGATAGAGCCCCCTCACTCCACTCCAAATCCGCGAAAGGACTCATGGAGCGGCTAAATGCTAACTCGCGCCTGATGGATACGACTAGAATGTCGTAGCTGTAACATGCTGAGCTGAGCCGAATGGTAGTGCTAAAATCAACTTAACGGACACAACTGTGAGAAATTGGTAGCGATTTCGCTACACATGTGGCGATCTAGGGAGATATCCGGTGCTTACTACCACTACTCCGATGTTGCCTCTGTTTTTAATTTCCCAATTAAAATACTAAGAATTCTGCGTTGTATGTTACTTGAAACGCGTTTAGATGTGTATCCACCTTTACAGAAGCGAAAACGCGATAAAACTATGTAAGTTGCAACTTACGATATGTGAATAAGTTTTTAAGCTACCATTTAAGGAATCACATCAGTATGTGAAGTTTATTTATGAGTTCGAAGGGCGTTTTCACAAATAACTACACTCGATATACATTTATTGTTAAAGATTTGAATAACGTCTAAAGATAAATCAAATAATGTTGCCATCTAAAAAAATAAACGTAGTAAGTAGAAAAGCACAAATTATGAGACAAGATATGAATTCAAGTCACATCGTTTTTTATGAAATATGTCGCCTAGAAATCGCTATGTGTAAATAGAAATATCTATAGTACGTCGCTAAATCACAATAACTTGATTATATACGTTTAATTGTATGTTGATATCTAATTATTGTATTCGGTGGACTAGTTTTGCGTCCCATGCGCCTGCGTAACACACAGCGTGATATGATAGTCAAATTGTACTTCGATATTGTTTAGCGTCTATATATGGGCTAATCTCATAATGACGACAATTTTAATCGTATAAAAAAATACTAAGACAAAATTAGACACAATGACAACTTTACTAAATATTTACCAGAAAAAATAAACGGAACTGTTGTGTTTATATTGATGATATAATACAATGGTCGAACCCTCGATCCCATGCTTTAATAACCGATTAAACAAACAATTATTAATTTGATAAACAACTTAAAATAATATTTGTGCCAAATATATTCTACTAAATAATTTAGTACCAATTTAATAATAGATTTGCTCTCCGCGTTACTAAACATTTTTAGTTTGCAAATAATTGCAAGAAAATTTATGGTATAATTAAAGTTTACTATTATATACTGACTTCCTCAGATCAGTATTAATTTAATTAATAATAAAAACAAAGTTATACGTTTCGTTTATGCGCGTGCCAAGATTTCATCATTTCCAAATTGTATGGTAAAACAGATGCTACCATCGTTGAAAAATAAAAGTCTATTACACAATGATCGTGCTCATTATTATTAGGGGAAAACTTCCTAGTACTAATCCTTCTATACTTATTAATACGTTTTAACAAATTTCATAAGTTACGACTCCTTACTAATAATAGCATAGCACAATCATGTACAATAGGCCCAGAATACAAACGACACAATTACGCCCCATAGGAAACGAAACGAAATGATCTTGACACTTCAAAACTATTAAAATATTTCGTTGCACGTACAAAAGCGGTGAATAAAATCGGCTAATCATAACGTACGAGATAAACATCGACGCTGCAAAACGTTTGAACATTTATGCTTTTAAATCTATAGATACATTACAACAACGATGGATATAATTTACTCAACAGACGTGATATCGCTACATTTGCGTGATAGATTTTGGGGACATCCTATACCGTAACATTCTTTCTATGGGTGCTACAGACCTAGAACCATGTTTTGTGGACTATGGCTCAGTATTCGAACATTCCCAAGCCTGGTCTCGCCTACATATCCCTAAGACTCATTCCACTTAAGCAATTAATGATAATATATTCCACTATACTACAAGCTAAGGCGCGCGGTCTCAAGTAATACTGAACGAAATAGCTTTCTTCCGCTATTAGTTGATAAATGATGCACGAGCGATTAGGACAACACATGGAAATTTCCCTAACAGATACATTTTAATTTAAAGCTTTAAGACGCTCAAATTACGACTAACCAGTGGCCAATACAATCCCGCGCACCGTCACTACCGACTTAGCTTACCTGTATTATATCAAATTTACTCATTCCATTATTTAGGTATTAGCTTTAAATACACATATACACGTCAACGTCAAGAATTAAAGTTTATTTTATTCCGCTATCACTGAAAGTACATATTATATTGTATACTTGATAACAGACACTGGTCGAACGCACCGCGCGGACCCTATCGAGTATAATAACTATTAAAAAAACTATCGATAAATACAAGTATACAAGAATATCAATTGACTGAGAACTCTTAGCGAAAATATACATTTCTATAAATTCCAACAACACAATAAACGTTTGAAATAATATTAAACATTTAATATTAATTATAGCTAAATTTATATGTTAAGTCGTACAGGTACCTACTTAAGTTATCCTAGTTAAGCAAAATATATTCTCAAGTATCAAGAACGAACGGTCGAAATAAAAACGAGCGGTCGCATTGTCCGCGCGACACGTCCAGCCACAAACAACAGCGCCTAGGAAAGAGATAACAACGTTAGGATATACCCAATAAACACATTGGTATTCAAATTATAGTTATATGTTTAGATTATAATTATTACCTATTAACTAACGGCTACTTGTGGAGACATTTAAAAAAACTTAGACGCCATATTGGCTTTTCTAGTTTTGTTTTTAAATATCTCCACAAGAGTGTGCTAATGTAATTATTGTACCGGAGGCGGCGCGTAGGGCCCGTGCGTACGTAAGCAAGTGGAGTTGCCACACTACGCATAAATACTACCATAGTGGTAGAAAATTATAATTTTTATACCAACTTTTTTTTCATATTTTATTGAACATTTTTATTTACCCAAAGGAACCTACGTTTGCGTATAATTTACTATAAATCATTATATGCAATAATTCACATTAACTTCTTATTAATCTATATTTGGATTGGATTGCAAACCAGCCGTTGATAGACCGTGAGCGGTGATTTGAAGCGACTATACTGCATCTTTTTCACTCGCGATATTATACGCTAATGCAAGAAAGAGGCGACGATACAAACATAGCGATTAGAAAGGCACTACAGAATAAAAATTCGCGCCGCGGTAGCCACCGTCCAGACTCCCAACAATACAATAAACGTTTGCGTATTAGTAGTTTTTTTATACATTTTTTTATATAATAGTGTGTGAAATTTGAGTGATTAAATGTTGCAGACTATGAAGTTTTCTACATAAGTGTACGATGAATCTTTCCAACCATACAAACGCCTGTCGACATAACTAATTCCTGCTGACTTCACTATAACCAATGTCTGCAATACTGAACATTACAAATTTATTTTTTTAATAATTTCAAATGAGTCACGTCGACTAAACCATTTGTATGATTACCACGACGTCTTCATTTCAACCAAACTGATACCACATTCAGCACACCGTGTAA